TCCAAATTTAAAAGCCATGCAAATTGTGCTGGTCCTTATGACTTCGATTCCTGTAAAAGACTAAGTCTGCGCACCCTCCACCCCGCCCCCCAACCAACATCATCGTTGTGGATTCATGCACTTCCGCTACCGGTGCGCTACTATTCACATGCGGGGAATAGTGGCATGTAACAGGGAGTGCATCGCCGCCTGGGGGACAACGTTGAAGAGTTATGTGCTTCTGGGAAAAACAAGATTCCAAACTTGCAATCGAATATACCGTCTTCCAATTCTATCACAGAATAAAAAGGTTGCAGCCTAAGAGGCAAAACTTATTGATCACGCCTCGTATACGGGTGGTGATCAATAAGTTTTGCATGCACATCACCAAGATTAGAAAATGAAAGATAACAAAGCCCATTTGTAATACCGTGCCTCTCCGAGTTTATATGACTCAGAGTCCCGTAGGTAGAGTGCTGGAACTTTTTTTTTTTCGTTTTGTAAGGTCGTTTTTTGGGTGTGTTTATAACAGTCAATTTAGGAGCAATTGGGAGAGAGGCAGGGGCTCAAATCAAACGTATGTCATTTCAAACAGATTCGAAGTGCTCGAGAATTAGTGAATCTAAATCAACCAAATCCTGCACACTCGCGTCTATGAGTTACGCAGTGCTAAACACGACTAGCTATGTTCGCGCGTTTGAGGTGTAGCTGCCAAAGCACGCGGCTGCACGCGGAGGAACGGGGTTCGAACCCCGCTCGCACCGTTTGTTTCTTCTATCAATCAGTGTTCTAGAAAGTTGGAGCCCACTCTCAGCTGTCATTCTGCGTTCTGGTTCAGAACATTCCTGAATGTACCGCGTGTGTAAGAGCAACGCGGAGAGATGACGCTTCTAGGCCGTCTCCCTTCCGTTGACATGGCAAGATGCGTTGTATTTTCTATTTAAGTATGTAGGCCCCAAGTTCGCCTCACTTTTCCCTTTCACATTGTAAGAATTCGATAGCTGCTACCCGTCTCGGAGACTGATAAATATATAGCGCAGCGGTTCAACAACACATAGTCATTTATAGACCGTTATCGCCCGCGCCGCGATCCTAGAGCCACTGTGCACACCCTGCGACGGCATTTTATCAGTTGCGGAGCGTCGCTCGCGTGGACAATTGCACTTGGCCGTCTCGCGGTGGAAATGACTAGGGACAATTTAACATCCGGGCCACCTGATCCAACACTTCAGAATCCCAGGTTGCCCAAGTATCTTCGCCTTCCAAAAAACAAATAGGAAGTTTTGGGGTGGCCTCCTTCCTTCTGGGCCAGCGTCGTACGACGACAACGTACGATGGTGGCCTACGACGACGCCATATGACGATGCCCTATCATGACGACCTACAACGAGGACATACGACGACGACCTATGACGGCACTCTACGAGAACGAGCTATGCCACGACGACTTACGACAACGAGTTACGACGACGACCTTCAACGACTACTTATGACAACGGTCCACGATGACTCCGTACGACAACGATCGACGACGACGCCTTACGAGAACGGCATATGACGATGACCTACGACGACAACTTACGAAGGCGACGACATGCGGCGACCCTACCACAGCTGCGTACGATCACGCCCTACGACGAAGATTACGAAAACGGCTTACGACGACTTACGACGACGACCTGCGACGATGACTTACGATGGCGAACAACGACAACAATGAAGACGATTATGAGGGCACCCGACGACAACCACTACTGAGGGCGGACAACGAGGCACGAATTTCACACGATGATCACCACTAGAATGAAATGCCTGGAGAACATGAGACCGCAATCGAGTCTAAGGATGGCATAACATTTTGATACTGGGTGCATTTCCTCTTTATTTCAAATGTATTTTGGCAAGCAGCAGGTCGCTGGTGACCGAAATGCATGAGGGTCTAGTTCCCCGTGGTATTATACTTTCATGCATGTTGGTCCGCTTGACACGGACTCGTTGGTCCGCGTCAAGTGGACCAATGAGTATTGAACCCCTCTTGACCTGGTTCTTTTATTCCAGTAGCTTTATGGGCCCAACCATGCTCAAGGTAGCGAAATCAAGGCTATAGGAAACGGCCGTAGCTGAAGTGCCGGTGGATAAAGCGCCGGTGGCTGAAGCGCGCATTTCTCAAGTGCGCTCTCAGTTTTCCTCAGTAGTACTGGACATACTTGGCAGCTATGAACGCCATCCCTCCCAGAGTGTCCAAAAGTGAAATTGGAACCATCATGAAACTGCACTCATGGTCACCGACATCTTTCTAGTATTATTTCTGTCATTCCTTTCTTTCCCCCCTACCCATACAAAGAAGCCCGCTAGGACAACTGTTCCAGAGAAACGTCTCCGTTCTTGCATCATCGTTTTTTCAGTTACTCAATCACTTAATATTTTGGTTTATCTGTGACATTGAAAAACAAAAAAAGAGAGTTTCCTGCTATCGCGGTTTATTTTAAACCATACATTTTTTTTTTTAATTTATGGTGGGCTGTATACTACATGTGAGGTTGTCCCATCCTATGTTACCATCAATGATCTGCTTTCGCAGCCATAAAAGTATTAGGCGGAACCTAGAACGTTCAGCTGATCTACAGGAGCGCCATACAAGTATGGAATTGATAAAAGGTTCAATACAAGTCTAGAATGGATTAGGGCTCAGTCCAACAGCTGTAAAGGAATTTGCGCCTTGCAAAAACGTCTGCATGTTTCTTCGCATTGTTTCCGATTTTGATTTTCGACAGCTGCGTGTAAGTAACAAATAAAAATATGAAGGCGATGAGGCTGCAGTGAATAAAGCTGTTCTTCCCGAGCAGCTCGTCTTTGATGTCGTCTTAGAAGTCAAAGCTCTAGAAGAATGCTATCGCAAATCATAGACAACCAACAATACTGATTTCTGCACCCAATTAGTTTTGTCTGTCGGCCTCATCTTTCATTTTGTTGCGGCCCTTTTTAACGTTTTTTTACGACTATATTGTTGTTATTTTCCTTAATGTGACGGGGAAAACCATGACAAAAGTGAATCTTTGCATTTGGCGTACGTACAAAGCACTTGCTTTGTCAAGCTGATTGAACCTTTTTTTTTACTCAACCGGCACAACACTTACATGGTAAATTAAGTTATTTTTTTTTTATTGTTTCTGGTTGCTGGATGTTTTGTGTTTTCCCATGGTGCCCGCGAGATTACTTGCGAGTATTATCGGAGTTTTCCTCTGCATTAGGGATCTGAAAACGTTTTGGCAAGGGGGCCTGTTTGGGGATCTGTTGCAGTCTCGAGGCCGGAAACTAGATAAGACAGCATAAACGAAGAAATACTATATAAATAAGCTTAAAAAAGCACTTAAGTACAAAAATATTGACTAGAGCGAGATTTGAAAATAAGATGCAGGCCGGACAAATACATATGCTCTGTTTTTAGGTGCAAAAGGTGTCCCCTAAGTGTCTGCCGAGGCATTGATTGTTACGAGGCGAAGTGGAGTGCCCACGCAGTTTTCGTGTCCAATCTATGAGTCTCACTGAATTGTCGGCAGGCGGGTGGTTTCGATCCCACAATTACGACATCAAACATTTCGAACGCAAGACTGAAAAAAATAGTCCCTGTGATGATGTGATTTACCGCCGAATTCAGAAACCTCACTCAAACTACACTCAAACTGAAGGGCCCCTCCACTTCCTCGAGGAAGGCTCAAGGGCCGGCTCTGGCCAATCGCGAGGACGGATCTGCCGTCGCGATTGGCCAGCGCCGGCCCTCGCGCCTTCCTCGAGGAAGTGGAGGGGCCCTTCAGTTTGAGTGTAGTTTGAGTGAGGTTTCTGAATTCGGCGGTTAGTGTTCAAAAGATGAAAGTGGGTCAACTTGGGTGGGTCAACTTGGGTCAACCCATGAATCGGCTCGGAGGGACATGGGAAGACGACGAAGAGAAGAGACGGGGCCTTCGTGCACGGAGAGCGTGCAAAGGACTGGCCGGGAGAACGTGCTGGGCGCGGTGTAGTGCCGAGTCGGAAAGACACCATCGGTCAGAGCAATCGGCTGCTGGCTCTTGCTGTCTGCCTTGTCCCAGCGAGGGCAGCGCTTAGAAATCTACGCTGCCCGGTTTCCTACTGCGAGAGCACATGGTACGGCGACTCTGGGGTCATCGACGGAAGCCAAGCGCTCCCGCTCCTGCCAGCCACAACTGTTGCCCGACAACAGCTCCAGACACGAGACCCACTGTTCCGTATGGTTGTTCCAAGACATGAGGACTGTTGCGTTCCCCTTTGTTTTATTTCTTTAACTTAGTTTCCTTTTCTTTATTTTAGTATAAGTATACGGACTCTTGATTTCCTTTGTAAATACATGTTTTAAGGAAAGCGATGGACATGCGTATCTTTTCTACATTTAACCCTAAAGAACCTTGCTACAGTCCCCTTTTAGCCTCACAATTTCACCGCGACAAGGAAGGTTCTGAATCAGTGGCGGTCTGTGCCAGTATACTTGGGACAGATTAGGACCAGTGCGCCTCTGCAAAGTCATGAAGCTTCCACGGATATAGTTTCATGACCCCTTGAATTGTGAAAGTGAGCATCAAACTAGGTTGTTATTTTGTTTTTTGTTTTCGTGCCAAACAAACCAGGGGCATCTGACACACTCTAGCGGAGGACAGATAATTAATTTACACCAATCGGGATCTTTTGCCGTACAACCAAAATCTCTGTTACATGGCACCTCCTCCGCAACGAGCCTTCATCAGACGAAACTGAGTATAGCAAGTATATGTTTCAAAACCACAGCTGGCCCGCAGACGTAGCACTCCCTTGTCTGACGTAGTCATCGTTAGCTCTCGGCTAAAATGTTTTATTGTGTCATAGAGCAGCGTACACAGATAAACAATGCTCTTCAAGCTCAAATTTTTATTCTTTTTTTGGTGTATTTTTCTCGTGTCTATTTGATTTATCCCCCGTCAAATTCTCATGATATATAAGACGGGAAAAAAGTGGAAAAAGAACGTTGGTTGCAACTTATGCGAACCTCTGAGCCGCCGACGAAAAATTCCAACATGTTCGTAGCGGTCCTTTTCGTACCGGTTGTAGCCGGGAACGTCCTTGCGGAAAGCAGCTCTAAGCGAGTTCCTGTACTAGCGGAAAGAAGTGGGTTTACAAAACCCTACACGATATTTCATCCCTGCAACTTGAACAAATGTGAGACTACTTTTTCCATCAAACTAATTGTAGAATGAACTGTGCTTGACAAATGAGAATCTCTAAGCTGGTTATGGCGACACATTCGGCGCACTGCAAGTACACCGGACGACACTGTCATCACGACCACGAGATTGATGACCATGTTATGATTTTATTTTGAAAGACTATTTTCAGGCACCAAAAGGTACCACTTAAGGCCCGTTGAAGCACTTGCCTTTTCTTAGGACCGAATTCCTGCAACCTCTTACGACGAGAGAATCGAGAGAACACTTGAGAGCTTGGATTGAAGTGAGGGTCCTTCTCAGAACATGGGGAGCGCTTGTAACGTAATGGCGGACGCCTCCTGCGGAGATTGGTCCCAAGTGCGCATGAGCGGGGCTCTCGCGTGGCGAGGAAGAAACCAGGTTGGAAGGACGATGCGTTTGTAGACTACCAACGCTTTCGGGAACTCCTCGCAGCTCGTATTGCAAACCACGTGACCCCGGTTCAGCAGTTGGAAACTCTCTGTAATCGAGGCTCCCTAGAGAATACACTGGCACGCTAGCGCCATCTATGTGTTGAAACTAGCATTGCTTTTTACTACCGCGCAGGGTGTAGGGTATTCGCCAGATCAAATTACGCACTATCAATGAGAACTGGTCGTTCATCACAAGGTCAAAAGATTTACGAGCCATAAACGTATGATGCGCGAAAGATATAGGACAGCATTTAGGTTTTAAGAGAAACACAAGAAAAAATTCGACGATCACGTGTTTTTATTCTTTTTTTGGTGTATTTTTCTCGTGTCTATTTGATTTATCCCCCGTCAAATTCTCATGATATATAAGACGGGAAAAAAGTGGGGAAAAAAGTTTTTCCACTTTTTTCCCGTCTTATATATCATGAGAATTTGACGGGGGATAAATCAAATAGACACGAGAAAAATACACCAAAAAAACAATAAAAATTTGTGATCGTCGAATTTTTTCTTGTGTTTCTCTAACATATGATTCCCGCTATTCACTTGAGATATATTTAATCCTCGCTATCCTTCTATTACATTCAATGCAACTTTGGCTTCTTTTTAAGAGCAAATGAGCTCGTAACATTGGCTCTGTCTTCCCAGAATTTATTTGTTTTAAGTGACAGCCAGATCAATACCCGAGCAAAAAAATTACGGATCAGTGTGTGCGTCTCCACGTCCGCATTCATCAATGGCTCTGATAGACGACGGTCACTCGATTCTGCTTCCTGCACTGCTGGAGACGGTTTGCACAGTGCCTTTTTTCCCAAATGGGAAACGAAGATGCTGAAAGAGGCCCCAGAGTGTGGTATTGAGCCGGGTGGCGCTGCATATGGGGTATCCACACGAAGGAGAAATCCGCCCCTTTCCTCCGCGGAGCGCGCATCACGTGAGACATACGTCATCCCTTTTCGACGCCTCGCGGCGCCGTTCTTCTCCGTGGCGGAGGCGCGGAGGCTTTGCATTGTCAGCACGAAAGCTCCGCAGGTGGGCGGCGGAGCCGAGGGCGGAGTTTCCCGGGTTGTTGACGTCACGACATCCGTCCACGAAGTTCTCCTTCGTGTGGATACCCCTATAGCGGTCACAGTGGCTGGCGGCGAACGAGCGACAGCGGTGCGAGTCCCGACCAACGCAAAAGCATTACTCGTGGCTGCTGTTTCACGCCCCCAGTAACAAGCTCAGGAAACTCGACTAGGGCTCTAAGTTGGACACTAGGCGACAAGTCCGGTGAGACCTCCGACCGCCGTGATCGGCCAGCGCCGCGCGGTTCTCCTCGGCGCTGGCCAATCACGGTGGTCAGAGATCTCGCTCACTTCCTCGCCGAGTGCGCAACTTAGAGCCCCTAAATGCGTCTTTCTGCGAACCTCCTGGTGAAGTGACAGGCCGTAGTGAAGCGGCAGTGGTGAAGCAGCCGTAGTTAGGTAGTGAATCGACAGGCCTTGAATTTTTAGAGCGCAGCTTCTAGGCGCGTTTCCGGGTTGTTCGGCGCCAGTGTCGCCGTCGGTGTCGACGTCGACGTCGGCATAACCGCGCGCGTTGCATTATGAAACGTTTCCCGGCTAAAGTTAGCGGGGAAATTTTTCCGTTACATTTAGCGGGGAAACTGACGTTACGTGACCTCAACACCAATTCAGTTTTCCCGCTAAATTTAGCGGGGAAAATGACGTCACGAATTCGTGTCACGTCACCCATCAACATATTCAGCGGCAGGAGGAGAGGAGGGGGGGTGGAGAGGAGAAGGGTAGGAGGAGAAGGAGGGACGCGTGGGCTCCGTACCCTCCCCTCCTCCTTCTCGAGAGCTACGCTCTAATTTTCGCATCACAGAAATTTGTAAACGTCTCTCATTTTTATTTTCTCGATCTTTGATCTTTTGAACCGAAAATCAGTTAAAGGGCCACTGACAACCGAGCATTGCTAATCTTTATGGTGGCAAAAGACTTAAAATTATTCCTCAATTGCCCTAGATATTTTAAGCTTGAAAACTGCGTATTTGTAGAAAGAAAAATATCGTTAAAATGCCTGATTTAAAAGTTTAGCTTGAATATAAGATCTGGTGCCGAAATGGTGCACTCCTTGCATTTTTGAATGACTTCAAACAGAAAGTGTTTAACTTTCCCTCTTATCGACCATGGCAATCAAGAACGCTAGCATCTGTCAACCTATCAATCAGCGCCTACTTTGCTGTGCGTTTGCCACGGGACCTTTCTCTGCGTACTGATAAAGTTCTCTTCCTGATCTTTTTTTTTTTTTTTTTTTTTTTTTTTTTTTTTTAGCAGTGTTGTGCTTAATGGGTCTAATTTTTTTAAGGTAAAATGAAGATGACGTGTTGCAGACTTTTGTGAGGGACGCGTAGGATAAGCCAAGCTTCTTTATCTCTCGACCAAATGCTCTTCCTAAGCCTAAAAATTACCAGACATAAAAAAAAAAAAGAACGTCCAAGCTTTAGCCGACTTTGCCATTGTCGTTATTCCTCTCAACGCAGTCAGAACAGACTTTCTTAGATCTATGAGTTGGCAAATCTTCCCAAAATGGCGTCGTTCGATAACGGTCGTTCTCTGTTGCCCGTACGCTAGACGGTCAGATACCGTTCCTAGCGATACCGCTCCCATCTGAAACGGACAAGGACCGTTTTCGATCGACGTTCTTTTTGCGCGAACGTTAAGTTCACAATAAAAACCGCAGTAGATTAACATTCCACCACAAGCAATGTGCATCCGACTTTCCATTGTTTCTGCCCGCAATGTCCACATGACGGGCTGAACAGGCACAGCCCCTTTTTTGCAACATTCATCAACAACGTTTGCTTCACGCTTCTTTGTTTGCAGCTGGCAAACGAGCAGTAAGCTGTTCCCAGTTAAAAAGACTTGGAAAGAGCGTGACCAGTGAATATTTGATCCATCCCCACAATCAATTCAAGGTGAAGTGTGACATGGAGACCGATGGCGGCGGGTGGACTGTAAGTGTTACCACTTACCTAAGGTTCCCATATTCACTGCGAAGACAGAGCGTAATTTTGTTCTTCATTTTAAGAAAAAAAATATTAATGGGACAGCGCAACAATTTTGACATCGAAAGAAACTCTAGCGGGTTATTTTTATTTCGTTTATTTTTTTTATTTACTTACCCGGCCGAGGCATTACGGAGTGGAGTAGATTAAAGCGATAATACCAAAATGAAACGCATTGAAATGATTACAGATATTGATTAGCAATTGAAGTTTTGAAGAAGTCGGTGTCGGTGATCTGAGTGATGGAGATGGTAAGGGTGTCCCAGTCGATTTAAGTCTTCCGTGTGACGGAACTGAATTGCCAATTTGTGCGGATGCAGTGCTCGCCAACCTTAAACCTTATCCTAGCAAATTTAAAACGAAATACTTTGCTTCTCCCTAGTGTAGTTCCCAAATTCCATTAAACAACCTTAAAGCAAGAAAATAAAATATGAGATTGAGTACTTTACACACCACAGACGTGAACGCCACAATGGGAACCACCTCAAGAGGTATACGCTGAAGTAAATTATGAGGCTGTACAATGATCTTCTCACTCCAAGATATTGGAGGTCGTCAAATTAAAGACCCTGATCGGCTACGTCTGTGACATTTTGAATGTCTCCAACATTTATGTTAAATACTTTTCCTCTATAGTAAATCCCAGTACTCAGTTATCAACTGGTACTTGCCCCACGTTTTCATACTTTCAACACTGTGTCTGTTTTTAAATTGACATCTGATGCTATAGTCTCGGCCGTAAAAATATTACTCCGAGAAAGTTTTGTGGGAAGATGGGATTCGCCCGTGACAGGGTGCTTTGACCTACCGGACTTGTTTGCGGTATGGTGTTTCTTTAGAATGTACTTCTCTGTTACAAAGCCGAATGTCATTTTATGTTCTCCGACATAAAGATATACTGCCGACCTTTCCTAACTCTTTTTACATAGAACCTGGCCCACCATTGACACGGATGAAGTGGAAAACTTCTCTAGTTATTTTGTGGAGTATGAGAAGAGTGTATAATAAATTATTAGACGCTAGTCATTTCTTTATATTTCGCCTCGTGTACTATATAATAATGAAAGTTTATAGTTCGATTAAAACACCCGACCTTATGCGCTATGTAGCCTGCACAGGTACTGACGTGACGGTTTCCACTAATTGTCAAGCAAGTTGCGTCATGCGCTCGCGACTACCATGATTTGAACCTTTCCAGTAAGGAATGCATAGCACTATGCCAGCTGAGGCTCTCTACGGGCAAAGAAGAAATTTCGCATAAAACTCGGTCATGATAAGCTTATTTGCACCTCCCACTTGACTAAAGAACGTAGAAAAGTAGAAATAGCGAAACAAAACAGAGTCATTAACCAAAAGATCTCTGCCAGTAAACAAACCAACAGGTGCATTAAAAGAAAATGTCTGCCAAAGAATGCAGAAATTAAAATATGCAGCAAATTGCTTTATTCAAGAAAGTAAAAAAATCAAGGTGCATTTTAGAAAGGCGGAGAGAAGAGGGTTCTGCACGGAAATGGCCTGCAAAAAAAGACCAGTCGCAAAACGCATACGTGACTAGAAACTTCTGCAAGAACAAGGAATGGCACAATGCTCAGTTTTCTGCCGTTGAAGATTTCTAGTCTGCACAAGAGCCTAAAATGTCTGCCATGCATGCGGCCAAACCCTCAAAGGCCTTGGAGGCCTCAGAAATTTTTGGGAGATTGGGATCGGGGGCCGGGGGTTTCCGTGTGTGTGTGCGTGTATGTGTGTGTGTGTGTGTGGGGGGGGGGGGGGGTTAAGCAAATACTAAAACAACGACGGGAATAATGCAATTTCGGCACTACTATTGCTGGCGATTCACTAACCTTGAGTCTTTCGGTGTTCATTGCCTCGCGCTATGTCACTCGGAAACATATGCATGCATCGAGATGGGCCTCCGGACCCCAAGACCGCCCTTGCCAGACGGCTTGAACGTGTCTCTGTGCTTCTTCATAACCGGCGGGAGAAAAGCGCGTATCTCGAGGAGTAGATCTCAAAATTACATACCAACGAGCGTAAGGAATGCTGAAGAAAGATTCACTTTGCTCATACTCTTTAATCGACTTCCAGGTAATTCAACGCCGGGGAAGATCTGAAAGATCCGAAGAGAACCTCTTCGAGAAAACCTATAAAGAATACCAAGATGGATTTGGAGATGCCGCGACTTCATACTGGATAGGCAAGTACAAATAAATGAATCCTTGCTTCTTTGCTTTCTAGAAAAGGCGAAGAGCAACTTGTACAGAACGAAATGCGTGGAATTTTGGTAAACTCGTTCACAGGTGTCAAGGTGTTACGTGACACTGTAGCGTCACGTGACGTGGTAACGTAACGTGATACGTTTTACTGCTGTATTTAGTTCGAAACGCTTAACGTCCTTCACGTCACATTGTAAGTGTTGTCACATATCTTTCAAAGGGATATCATCACGGGTGAGCTGCTTCGGGGACGGCTGTCCCGGACGTCAGCGGTTAGCTGAACAAGCGGGATTCCCTCCTGGGCTCCAGCATACACGAGAGGAATGCCAAGGCCCGTTCACACACTGGCGACTCCTTAGAACCTCTAATATGTCTTAGGACGAGAGAACACGCTGACGGCATCTATGCGGTGACACTGGAACTGCCTTTCACTAGAGTGAAGATTATGCGGTATTTTCGAAGTCAAATGTGTATACTACCTATGCGAAATGTTCGTTTATAACGTTGACAAAGGTTTTTCGAGCTAAGAAAGGAAGGATGATACGCGAAAGAAATAGAAAATATACGCGATTGCCACGTTTCCACTGCTACCCCATAGATGGTGCCGGTGTGTTCTCTCGTCGTAAAAGAGTTTAAGAGGTTCCAAGGCACTCGGTCTTTAGAAGTCGCAAGTGTGCGAACGGGCCTCCAGTGTTAGTAGCAGACGAACTTAACGCGCTTATTGTCGACAACGAGGCTGAGTGCGCGCTTAAGAGAGCAGAAAAATGGAGGCGTAAATTAAACGGCGGTACGCGATTATGGCAGCAGTGCTCTCAGAGTGTTAGATAAAAAGACTACGCACTGCTTCCTGCTAAATTAAGGCTGCCGAGTAAAAGGGTAGATGCAACACAAAAAAATGCGGAATCCAACACCAGCTGTATAAGGATTTGCTTGAGGACAACATTCATGAATATCGAGGACTCCTTTGTGAAAGGATAAATAAAATATTCAACGGGCCCACGACCTGCTCAAGCCACAACTTAGGCGATCCCAATGCCATCGCCGGTATCCCTTAAAGCACGATCTCTAAAGTGCCCATGCACGCCAACAAGGTTTTGCCAATTGCGAAGAGATCCCCCGCCAAGGAGAGAACTGTTTTTGCAACCCGATCAAAATCTCCCTGATCCCCCAGGGATGTGCACGTCAGCGTGCCTCCATCGTAAGGTGTAACGTTATTACCAGGTGGTGCACACCTCGGGGAACAAAGGGATTGATTGGGTGACTCCCGAACCAACAAAAACGTATTTTTCCGTTAAAGAAAAAGGTCCCAGCGTAGCACAAAACCAATTACTAAAAATGCTGCCAGCGGACAGCAATGACTGTTGATGAGGCCTATGTGTGCTTACTTAGTTTACGATTGAAAATTATACTTTCCATTAAATGCAAGCTCATATAATTATCTGATTTATGTGTAAGTTTATTGTTCTCGTGAATAAACAAAAAGTAATTAGCGTTAGTTGGTTATACTACGGGAGGTTAGTCAGCCAGGAATATGGAGACATTGTTACCCACTGTAGGTGAGGAATTTAGCCAGTCCAGTGCAACTGCAGGTCTGGGTTTTTTAACGTAAATCACGCAGTAGTGATACACGGCCGCACGCCGGTACGATGCTCATCTAGATCGAAACGGACAGAGGTGGTGATTAAACCCAGAATCCCTGAGTTCTGCTGCGCGAGTTTTCGCTTCACGTGCTCCGAACTGGACTGCGTTAGCCCACTCGGCCACTGATCCGCCTTCGTGAACACAAACACTGGACGGAAAGCGCCGAATAAGCAGGGACGAGACGTAGACAAGGACGGGGGCTACTTCTGTGTTCCTGTTTATGCGGCGCTTCGAGGAGGGATGTCCTGGACGTCAGCGGTTAGCAGAACAAGCGGGACTCCCTCCCCGGCTCCAGCATACACGAGAAGAATGCCAAGGCCCGTTCACACACTGGCGACTCCTTAGAACCTCTAATATGTCTTAGGGCGAGAGAACACGCTGGCGCCATCTATGCGGTGACACTGGAACTGCATGTCACTAGAGTGGACGAGGTACCGAATAGCCGATCTTTCTATCCGAATACAAATAATTATGAAACTATACTGACTCACCGTCTGCTATGGGAGCGTGTGATTATAAAGTATTGTTATAAAAATTAAAGATGTAATTTGATATTCACTTAGTAAAATATTCTTTTTTTTTTTGTGCACTCTCTGTAGCTTGGTTTAAGTTGGGCTCCTGGTTAATGCCAGCTTAGGGAATTTAGCGAGTATTTGCCAATGAGTGTATGATTTTAGGTTTAAGACGTGATGCTCATTCCGCCAGGTTTTGTTAGGAGCGTTTACTACAATTAGTGTTTCTTACGGTTAGTGAACTTTGAAGGAGGTGTTAATTTTATTCCTACACGCATTTTGTGCCTTCTATTAAAGGAAACGAGAATCTTCATCGACTCACGAACTTCCCAAATAACAAACAAGTTCTCAAGATTGAACTAACGAGACAAGAAGGGAACGATATCAATGTGGAGTATGATTATATTAAAGTCGGTTCCCAAGCGGACGAGTACAAACTCAGCATCGGCAAGTACAAGGGTCCTCCGGGTAGGTATCGGCGCTTTCACCATGCCTGTCGTGCCGCCTGCCACGCCCCGTCGTCGGTAATTGCTGAAATTTTAGGAGCTGCTGTTTGCAGGAGGCTGAAGAGACATTCTGGAAAGTGGAAGCTTCCATCAGCGTGTGATGACCCTAGGCTTATTTATGATTGATATTGTGAATCCTGGTGACGTTGGTGAGGTGTGAACCAACGTTACAAGATCAGAGTAGAACTTTATGTGGATCGAGTCTGCCACGTGCTAGGGAAAAAAAAAAAGTCGTAACTTTTGGAACTAGACATAACATGTTAAAGTCAGCGTACTTTTCCTTAATCCCTTGAGTATATATATCGTTTTTTCACCGCGTGGAGAACGCATATTTTGGCCTCAGTGACACCGTCGCCTGCTTTATAAAGAGTGTTTATTTATGAAAGACACTATTGTAAGGGCAAAGATTTGGGTTCTGAATGCTTTCAACCTCTCACTTTTTTCTCGTATCGTACTTTTCGAGACACGCAACAATTCAGTGGAATCTCGAATTCGGACCTTACGATTACTTTTTGAGACCCTTAGTCGTTATTTGTCTATTCTAAACTGTAGCTGTCTTGTTTTCAAATTCGTTGAATTCCCAGTTTATTACTACTTTCTAGATATTAGCGCTCGCCATGAAGCGCGTACTACAACGACATAGATGCACAATTCTGTAGCAGCCAGGAACATAACGAAAAAAAAATTGCATAAGAACAATAAATAAATGAGATTCAAAGCAATATAAAAAATATAAAACATCGTTTTGATCGCTTGCTCGTTCGTGCCGCTACATGTAAAAATAGAGAAAGGATTGGAGCCCAGTTGGGAGTGGCAGGGTGCAAACCGAAAGTGAAATCACAAAGGAACGCGGAGGAGTGTACTCAGGTATGGGCCACACAAGGCTAAGGGACAACGAAGAAAACAGTCCGCTTTGATTTTTTATACTTTCACTGTGCACACCACGTTTCTGCTTTCCAACAGCCGACGGTAAACAGTTCTGAGCGCAAAATAAATTACTCAAACCGGAGATAAAAGCATAGAACCAGTGGCAGCGCCCGATAGAACATGGAAGGTGAACAAAAAGCCACGTAACGAGGAAATCTCAAAATAAAGTCGAACAGAAAAAAATACATCCCATTGGCTCGTACCACGTACAGGCAGTGGCTCGAGCAATGCGTCCATGGTCAGTTCCGCTTTGATAAAATCCTGCAAACAGTGGCAGCTTAGGAGACGTTGGGCGTGGCGAGGGTCGACCATCTCATTATCACAAAGTATCAGATTGCGGCATCGGTCAGTCAGAACGCTGAACACGGACACAGAAGCGTGAACGTAAACCACGACCTGCGTCTCTCAAGCTGTCAGTAGCTATACCTGGCATTCCATCCGACACTAGACATAAAACCTGCCATAGCGTAGATTCGTTTCCCGATAAATTCAGGGGGAAGAATAAAATACCAAGCTCAACGCATTACTCTGTAACGTATCACGGGAGCTTGCCAAGTCCTGGCCACAAACGCATTGTGTGTTAAAGGCAGAAGCTCGCATGCACTTCGGCTATAGAGGGCTAGAAGAAGACGTGGGATAATTTCAAGGGCCAGAGCGGTCCCGCGATTCATGCCCATTATTCGCAGCATAATCGATAGGATAGAAGCAACGCCACATCGGCGGCCCAGTCGGCTAGCGTAGACCAGTGCACACAGAGCGAAAGCTCGCGCAGCTGGACTTAGGGATCCTGGGTTCTGCAGCCATATGGGTGAGCATTGCACCGGCGTGTGGTCGTGTTTCACGACTGCGTGATGCAGGTTAAAGACCCCAAGCGTAATAGTCGTACTGCACTCGCTATATTTCCAATCGACAGGGTAAAGCAGTGTCGCCGCATTTCAAATGCAGGCGGATCTTACGCTGTATAGACACGAGCGTCAATTTTATTTTAGGACTACCAAAACATATGCGAGCAACCTTGAGTATATAGAGATTTCTATCACACTCCGTAGAGATCCTGTTCAACCGTAACAGCTCATTCACACTGGAAGCGGATCCGTGTCCGCAAAGCGGTTGCGAACGCGGTTGTATAAAGATCCAGCACAATTGCACGCGCACTCGATGACATCAAGTGCGCGTGCAATTGTACTGGATCTTTATACAACCGCGTTCGCAACCACTTTGCGAACGCGGATCCGCTTTCAGTGTGAATGAGCGGTAAGAAGGTACGATACTTCATAGTATTTAAACACTATTTACATGCGCCGTTTTATTTAAAACTCAATTTCCAAAGAATGAACTGGTTTGTCGTTGTGGCGTTGTGGCGTTTTAGAGACAACGCGAGGGAACACAACTACAAAGCTAAACTAGGGACGCCATAACCTTTTACACCGTATGATAAAGCAGCACCACTTTACATCCTTTGTCGGTTCTAAAAAAATGTTTCTTTGGAGCCAACGTCGGGTGGCAAAGCCCTTATAACGATGACAAGCCAGCTCAGTTTGAGTGAAGGTTTGTTGTCGTTCTTTTCTTAGGAAGCTCATACGTTGCTCAATGTTTTGCCATCACAAGTTAGTTCAAGTCACTGTAAACAATTAAGGAGAGTTAAAAAAAAAAGTGGAGCTTTTTTTATATATTTATGTGCATATTATCCAGAATTAAAAAATGAGTTCCGTTTCTGCACAAATAACAAAACTACAATAACTGATAAAAATATTTTTATATTTATACGTAAAATGCATTTGAAGATAATGATTTTGATATATTTTGCGCCGTTCATTCGTAATTAATTAGTGAATGTGTCTGTAAAACGTGTTTATTTGATATGTTTCGTAAACATTTTTGTACAGAAGTCGAGAATTGTAACTTTTAATATGCTGTGCACATGTCGTAAAACATGAATAAAATAAGTAGATAGAATTGTTGCTATGCTTATGCTTAAGTGTAAAATTGACGGTTGTGCAAATTACCACAGTGAAAGCTTGGCAACCTTCACTCCTCGAACTTAGAATTTTTTATTTTTTTTTATTTCGAGAAAACAATTATTAACGCCGTAGCTAATGTAGCTGATAAAAAATTAAAATTTATATTGAAGCTAGGTAAAAGGCAAGAACATCTCTTTCACATATATCTTTATACATAGTTATAAAAAATGTGTCGCGGTCATTCATTACATTATCTTACGGGGAAACACCCAGCACTCACTGTTGTTTTCCGCAAAAATTTCGTTTACCATTTCGTACGGCTACAGGAATTCGTGTTCAATCAGATAGTAGACGTTAAAACCCAATTCAGGATATAAAAATGCACAGTTTAACCCTTTAAGTGCCAGGTTTTTTTCCGCGGGTGCGGGAAACCTTGGACCCACAGATGGGCAAAATTGCCTGAATAAAGTTTACACAAGCCGTTAGTCGGCAATATACCATAAAGCACAAATTTATTCTTGTTGATTTCCCATTAATGGTGATACACAGAAATTTTGGCAGCCCGAGTTTAGCTGTCAAGTGGTGGGAAGTTACGCGGAAGCGTGCCAGAGTATTTTCGAGCACGGCGCTTAAAGGGTTAAAAACAGATAAAATGTAAAAACAAATTATGTATTTCGCAGCAAGATCTTTTGAGGTGTGTTGGATCGATAAAACATATTATTCTATATTTGCGTCGTGTGAGTATATTGTAATCTTAGAGTGATCACCACCATTGATTCATTAACGCGGTGTTTGTGCCTGTGCAGGTTACGACGCTCTGAAGTCCTACAACGGATACAAGTTCTTTATGGGGAAGAGCCACTTCGCAGCTCCGTATTCAGGTTGCTACCCATATCTAAGTGGTGGCTGGTGGTATAATAAGTGCGTCCGCTCGAATCTTAATGGTCGTAAACTACAATCCACTGATCCGAAAAATAAAAGGGGCCTTGGTATTACCTGGCTCAAAGATGGCGATGCAAGTTCGTACGACGCCGTCTACGACCAGGTGGAGATGAAAATAAGGGATGCCGATTTTGACTTCTGCGCGGGTAAAATGGCAACATACTCTGATATCTGATTTTTGTATCCGCGAAAAAATAACCAATTTGTGTGGAAAGTACCATTTAGTATGTCATGTAAATTTCCCACTTATTTCTCTTAATTTCGCCCTGCCAACTTTAAGAAAAAATGAACAAACATTGGAAATAAAATTATACTGCCGGAACACAACTGGCTTGTTATAACTTATTCAGCTCTCGCAAAGATCCAAACCAAAATTCACGAAATATCCACCATTGGGTTGGACCCCATGGTTCAATGCCAGGTGATCTTTCAAGGGTGGTTTCATTTGAATTCGACAAACTTTGCGGAGTGGGTCCTCAAATTTACCTGTAAAATATATATGAGAAATCCAAATTCCTATGATGAACAAAACTGTCGTTAAAAAATAAACATATCTGGTTTGAGAGAAAGAAAAAAATGTGAAACGCTGCCGGATGGAATGCGTGAAAATCGCGATTCGATATTTGCTCAAGTTTAGACGATCTCTGCAAAATATTGACTTCTTACTTTTTTAGTCATATCACTTTTTACACTATACGCATGCAATCCGGGCTGTTTTTAGAGTACAATTGTTGTCTTTTATCATTTAGTTTATTTTTACATAAATTCGCAAACACATACCCACCCAGAGCAATTTTTACTAACATTGGGATAGCTAAATCAAACAAACGGTAAGGAGCTATATAATGAGACATATATCAATACGTAGCTGTTTATATAAGCTAACGATTTGTACATATTTTCGTTCAGTGAGGTTATTGGGCAAATTTGATTTCGCCCCAGATGTGTACAAAAAAGGAACTATGCAAATTTTAAGGTAGATTTTTAAAAAAAAGTCAATTTTTATTATCTTTTAACTTCTTTACTTGATAGCCCATAAGGTTTAGTAAATACTGCCTATAAGTCTTGAGTGTAATATTTTTGTTGTATTTTGGTGACAACTAGTTAAATGAGCCAAAGTTCAACCCGTCACTCAGTCCTCGGTTAAACTGTGCTGGCTTCACCGCAATGCTACTGGCGGCCTCATTAATAACAGATGGTTTTATAAGTCAGTTTACCATGGTGAGTTTGTTGTTATATATACTCATGACAACTCCTAGAGCCTCTGAGGCACGTCACGGAGGGCAAAATAGACCAGTCATGTTAACATTAACGTCGTCTGCGGTCTAGGTGAACCAGACATGTCTCAAGATCTGGCAAGTGAGCGTTCTTATCTGAGAAATTTCTGGCGCACAGTGTGACATAAAAAAGTGTAATTTAAAAAGACACACCAAAGAATCACTCATGGAGAAGCTCAGTACCCATCTTCTGCGATAATGAAAATTATGTTTTTCACTTATGAACGCATGGACATCTTTTTTCACAAACATGAATTGCCTGAACTATGTAGACCATTTTATTATGCTTATAAGCTTACATACAAGAGAAAAAGTTCAGCTGACAAAATAAAGAGCACCCGCTGGTACCACAACATAAAACACTTGATTTAACTACTAGTGTATCCACGTTAATGAAATACACATACACAGATGTTGATTATTGTGCACAACACTCCTCGGTGCGTTCATGCAGAGGCTTTTACAAGAAAGCTCATTTTCCTGGATAGTTAAAAAAGTTACACATTGTTAAACACCATGTAGGCACTAAAATACTGATTATGCAGTTCGCTGGGGACGCACTTCATTTTTTTCAAGTTGTCACATGTGTGAAAGGCAGATGCGTTTTCGAGCCGGTATGGATACCCATTCGGGGCTCTTGGTTTTGCAAAAATCGTCTACGTCAGGTTGTTTTTTTTTGTTTTTGTTTTTTTAATTCAGGCGAGTAAAGTTTTGACACACCTTCCCACCTTCTGCACGAAATCCGTTGATGTCTGTATGGTCTCATCCGCAGACGAACGGAAGTTGTGCACCGTCGCCTTATGGTTCAGTATAGGAAGTATTCACTGGCGGCCATTGCTGTGTGCGCGAATGCTGAGCGCGTGCTGATAGCGAGCTTCCACAGTTCTTTTGTAACGTGCATCCCGCACCATCAAGAGTGCCGGTCTTAGCAGCCTATTGATGTGAGCTCGTTCTGAGCATGCGCTCTCAACATCGCCCTCAAATATGGCGTCCAGTGAATACTTCCTACAGCGGGAAGGCGGCCGCGTGCAGCGCCGGAGTCTGCAGCAGTAACTGCTCTAGTGCAAACGTCTAAAACAAATGACACCTTGGACGCGCATTCGTCAACGCCTTATTTTGGTTATGTACTTCAAATAATTTATACGGGGAAGGCATGCGCGTGCCGCGCGTGCGGCTGCGCGAGCGTAGAGATTTTAGTCACCGCACACGAAAACTCCACGGAACCCTATAGCCAAAACAGTTTCGCTGTAAAACGCGCACGTCGCGCGCTGCAAAGAAAGGCAAGAGTCAAGCACTTTGTGCTTAACGTTTGCGCGTTTTTCAAGCTCTCACCAATTCGTGTTCTTAAGGTGAGCGATGTTTTCAACCAGGAGAAGGGGCGACAACTCGGCGACGTCTTCGTGCGACGGCTCAATGGTCGAGTGTGTCGTACGGAATAAATCCCAATTATTTCGATCGGTAAAAGGTTTCTCTTTCGAAGCTAGACAGATTCTCCGGTACCGCCAACAACAGTTCTGAAGAAAAGGTCCCACACTCTAAGAAAAAATGGAGGAAAAAAGTAGCAACGGCGCGCCTTCCTCCCTTCTACCGACGCGCCCCCAAGCGGACACGAGAAAAGGGGAGGAACGAAACTTTTTTCTCCTTCTCCAGGCAGACGGGTGAAAGCTTTCGCCCTCCCGACTCATCGGCTTTCGGTTTCGTTTTTCGAGCAGGTCGCGCACGTTGTTTAATAAATAGCTGTTGAGTTGATTGAGCTTCAGCAGCAGCGAAGGCCGCCTGTAATTCCGTCTTCTAGTCTAAACGTGCAGAACATTTCGGTTGCATTGACGTTTTTATCACTAATTTTATCAAACGAGCAAACGAAGCCGCTAGAAACAGCGAAGTTCCGGGACAGTGCCAGCAGTGCCACGTACACTGGGGGATGGCCGTCTCCGGATTGTTTGACTCGCGCGGCACGGAACTACAGCCGCTACAGCCACTGCAGCACTACAGACTACAGTAGCGAAAGCACGAGGAACTGTGTCGACGTTTTCGACGTTATGGAAACCGCAGGAACTGTGTCCGCTGTGTCCAAGAAAGGCAGGTTTTGCTGCCGGCTGCCTGGGTGCCTTCCCCCCTGAGTTCGGTTCTGTTTTCCGATGCCGAGTGCAACCGGCGTTCAACGTGGTTCTGTGTTTGTGCGTGTCAGCAACATAGCTGCAACATCGTGATGGCATGTTGTGGGTTGTGAACGGAAGACTGGAATTATCGCCGATGTGACCGTGTGTTCGCGTATCAGTGGTGTAACAACAAGAGGAGATCGTAAACGGTCGGGCATTGATGCCGCTGGTCGGGCCGTGATCGGAGGAGGCGGGTTGTCGCAGTTTGACATTCTGCTTTACATTAAAAAGTTTAATACCGCTTGAGGGATTACGTGCAATCGATCAACGTGCAGATAGTCATGTTGGAACGCTGGTCTGAGCAGTATAAGCTCCTATCGTACAGTGGCCAATGTGACTGTTGGTTGTATTGTCCCCGAGAGCGATTGCGCTCTGGGGTAAGGACAACAGTACGAAATTGTGACGGAAAGTACGTATATTTACAGTGTGGAATTTTAGCATTAGAAAACAATAGTAGGTAAAATCGAAAAAAAAAGCTACCATTTATTTTGCTGTTTAAATATATACTACGGTTCCTGGAGAAACTGCCCTCCAAGTGGCACGCTGGGATGAGCGCTAGAAGTTTTCGGGCTCTCCACGGCGTAGCTCCGTACACTTAACACGTGCCACAAGTCGCGGCTTTGACTGCATTCAAGTTGATCGAAAAGCGATTTCTCAGCCCGTGAAGCATCACTTCCAGCTGAGTGAATATCCGCTCTACAGAGATTAATTCAAGACGGCAATTGCAGCTTTGCGCGAACAGCAGAAATAGAAAAACAAACACTACAATAGAAATACAGGCTACGACGCGCCGTGCGGGGAAACAAACTCATGGCTTCGAACCGCATTGGAGCGGTTTGATTTATTGCTTTAAAATAATTACGGCGTGATCGAGCGTTTACTTTTTAATAAGGGATTCATCCCCTGAGCCATTCAAAATACTCTCAGAGGTATGACATTGCTGGGAAAAAATCAACATGCTGGGAATGCTTTTATTGCTTAGGGAGTCACCGAAAAGTTCCGCACGTTCAAAACGACCAGTATAAAAGACGGAAACGTAAACACGGGTGTAGTGTTCGGGTTAGTGTGGTGTTCTGTTGTATTGATATTTGTGTGTGCAGTGCATGTGCTTAATGTATGTTCACCTGATGCTTGTAATAAGTGTAATGGGTGTCATGTGTGTATAGCAGAGGATCCTCAAGCGCAGTAGTGGCCTCAGAGAAGCAAATTATTTTCGTAGAACATGAATTGGGCGGTATCTAGCGCCACCTAGCCTAGCTACTTGCAATTACTCTGCTTGACCCCGCCATCTGGTGGCTAGCAATTCAACCTTCTTTCACGCTACGCGATAAACAGCGGCTTCGAGTTTGTTCTTTCGAGAACGGCTTTTGGTTTCGCGCAGTGAGTTTGCCCTTCTCCGTGATGTGCGGTTGACGAAGGAATTGTGACTCGAGGAACAGCAAAGGTAAGACGCAAAGTGCACGAAGTAACTCGGTATCGGTTGTCTCCGTTTAACATCGCAGTGCTGTCGACGAGAAGACTGAGTAACTGCTTTCGAAACGCAGGTTTCTGTACCTGTGGGGTGAATCTGGCTTCGGAAATAAACACAGTTTTCGGAAAGATCGTGTTACGCTTTCATTTGCTGCTGCTCTCGTCCCGTACAAGAGACGTAGCGTCCTCGTTAAGCCTTATTGGGCTCGATTTGCTCGATTCGGGGCCGCCATATTGAGATGCAAGCGACGGAGGAACTTTGCTCACCTGCTTCAGGGACGAAGGTTTCTCCCTTTCTAAAGGAACATAGGTTACAAGACCGTTCCTCCCGTAAGGGAGGACTATCCGTACCATTTTTTCTAAGAGTGTAGGTGGTTGGAAACTGAAATTTCCAGAATGTGGTGGTCAGAGCCCAAATTTTCCTCGAGATTGGCCCAAGTACAATTTCCGCGCGCTTTGACTAGAGAGATATCAGGG